GGCTGGTGAATATTTCCTGCTCAAAAATATTAGCTGTATGAAATATTAGAACCACTTTATAAAACCTTAGTAAGACCACATATGGAATACTGCTGTCAGCGTTCCAACTAATGAAGTCCAAACCAATAAACTCCGAGACAAACATTTCCTCCAAGTTCCATTTTATTAGAGTTGTCATATTGGCACATCTGGGAAAACCCTAATTGGAGAGTTCCTGGTTTTCCCTTCTGAAAAGAGAAATCAAAGTTCCATCTCCTGCATCCACCAGTCCATCACATGGCCCAATCGAATCATTCATCCCAAGTGGAGACATCCCTCCTGTCACCCCCCTCCAGGTGCAGGGTTACATGTCCTTGACTCTCTGAGAAAGAATGTTGTTATGTCTAAGCTTCTACCTCGCTATGAAATCCCCCCTCTCAAATTCCCAGGCACTGAATGTGGCAGACTCGAAGCTTCCAAGTAAAAGATGGCTTCCAAGGCTGACAACTGCATCCAGTTTTAGTCACCACATTACAAAAAAGATGTTGAGACCTTGGGAAAAAAAGTGTAGAGAAGAGCAATTAAGATGACTAAAGGCTTGGAGACTAAAATATAGGAAGAATATTGCCGGAACTGGGTATGGCTAGTCTAAATAAGGACTGGGGTGACATGATAGCAATATTCTACACTAGGATCCCAAGGTCCCTGTCATAGTCATTTTTTTTGAACAAGGTTTTTCCTAATCCTAATGGATAGGGTCCATGTTCAAGTCTGTTAAGATCTTTTTGCATCCTGAGCTTGTCTTCAGGGGTGTTGGCTATTCTTGCTAGCTTAGTATCATCTGCAAATTTGATGAGTTCCCTTTCTACTCCTTCAGTCATTTATGATGATATTGTAGAGTACTGGCCCTAAGATGGAGCCTTGTGGTACCCCATTGCTTCCTTCCTTCCATGTAGATCTAGTACCACTAAGGACTATTTGTTGAATATGGTTTGTCAGGCATTTACAAATCAATCTTGTGGTGGTGCTGTCTATCCCACATTTTTCTAGTTTACCAACAAGTAGTTGTGGTCTATTTTGTCAAAAACTTTGCTTTTTTAAAATATTTTTTTATTTTTTTCTTGTTTACAAACATGTTATTCTTTGGACAGTGTGGTACCAGTATGTCTTACATTTTAAAATAAATATGGCAATATTGTTCATATTCAATACAGTTGACAATCTTATAAAATTTCATATTAATACACATATTTTCTTTAATTATTCACCATTTCAGTATCTTATTTTTATGTCAATCTCCATATTCTAAATATCCCTCTTTTGCTACAAATAAAATATTAATCATATTTGTAGCGTTTAACAGATTTACGTGATTCTAATAATAATTTACAAATTTATATTGAGTAATAATCTTCAATTATTTATCACCTAAGTTTTAATTATTCCACTATTATGTTTAAGAAATATCCCCTTTCTGATCGGATTTTACAACTTGTTTAATACAGATAAAATAATTATCATCATATGTACATTTGACCAGTTATATAATTTTAATAATAAAAGTTCTTTTTATCAAGTTGCAAGCTTTCATTATTCTCCTATTCAATGTGTTATTTTTATATCAATCAAATTCTACATATCATTCCTTTTTCTGAAAATAGAATGTTAATATTCATATTTATTACATTCAACTATCTTCTATAATTAACTAATAATACACATATTTATGTTGAATTGTATTCTTCAATTATTTGATTATTCAACATATCATATTCAACGTTACCCTCATTAAAATTCTATAATCCCTTGTTATTAATTCACCTTATAATGTAAAAGTATCTATTCCATTAGTCCCCCTTTCTCTAACTTCTAGCCCTTTTTTATTATCCATCATCTCGCATTGTCAAATGTTTTGCTGAAGTCTAAGTATATTATGTCCACATCATAGTTTGCTGTTGCTTCCTTCTTAGGATTGAGAGAGAAGGACTGGCCCAGAGTCACCCAGTTGACTAGTCCTGTAAGATGACACTAGAACTCCTGGTTTTCTGGTTTCCAATTTGGCGCCTTAACCACTATGGCAAACTGACTCTTTAGAAGTTCCATATTTTGAAATGTCTTGAAATAGGGCTAGTCTAGATTCTCTGTATTTAGCCCTCTTGGGAAAAGGTCAGAGGCCCAGGGAAACCCTCTCCTCCAAGTTTATATTTTTGATGCACAACTTTTACAAAATATTTATAGCAGTTTTCTTCCAGTTTGTATTGCTTTTAGCAAATTGTAATCTATGAAGGGACAGAAGCATGGGCAAGATTGCTTGCTAGGTTGCTGGATTAAAACCATTTATATTGCCATATCCACCATCCTATCAACAATCCACATCATTAATATCCAAAGTAACAGAAATAATTCTATTTAACAAAAAGAACCAGCAGAGCTCACTTAATCTCCTGGCCCAAACACATTGGGAATAGCCAAGTCTTCAAAGCCTTATGAATGGCTAGCAGTGTTAGGATTTGTTACAACAGAGCATTCCCCAAAAAAGGTTTAGACAGTTCATCCCAGTCTTACAAGACTGGGGCATCTCTCTGTTATTTGTTAAAGCAACAACCCATTTCCCCCCCAGACCTCTGAGCAAGTGTGAAAAGTGAGGCAGTTGTTTTTAAAAGCACAGTGGAATTTTTATCACAATGGCATTGTGTTTTTTCTTTAGGCACTCTGGATAAAATTTTGGCTGCTTTAATTACTAGCTGGATAATGCTGTACTCATGTCTGCTCCAAATCAATTCCTCCAACTCATTTCTGAAGCACGCACAGCCTTAGATATAGCTAATAAGCCATTTCCATGAATGGTAATGTGGTGCCTGTATATTTGCAGGAAAGGATCTTCCTATTACTGGAAAATTCTGTCCTTCCTTTTTGCCATCCAGGAGATCAACCAGGATCCCAAACTCTTACCCAACATCACCTTGAGCTACAACCTCCACAACAACTTTTTTAACACCAGGATGACTTCAGATGCCTTGATGGACCTGCTTTCTGTTGGAGATGCCAACATTCCAAACTACAGCTGTGGAAGACAGAAAGACCTCTGGGTTCTCCTGGAAGCAGCTGACTCAGACATCTCCAAACAAATTTCAACGATAGCAGCCATCTACAAAATCCCACAGGTAAGGAATGAAAGTGTGCACCTCTATGGTTAGGCACTCTGCAGAATTCTTCTAGATTGGGTTTTCCTTCAGAACATAGAAGAACTCAACCAAGCAGTGTAAGCTTGGAAGATGTGGAGATATGTGACCCATAGAAATGGTAAGAGTTGGACATAATTGGATATCATCATCATCAATAACATCATCAACAACAATTAAACTCATAAGCCACCCAACTCTCAATATTCCCATCAATCAAACAAAGAGATAACAGTTAAATCAATAAAGAATAAGCAATGGATAAAAGATGGTTAGCCTCTTTTAATATGTTTTGTTAATAATATTTAGTAGACCATTGTGCAAGACATGATATCAGGATTGTTAAAACAGAATCTGCCTGGATATCTTGGTCGGGTCTATTGAACCTACTATGTCTAAAAGGATATAAATGAACCCTAAGTCACACATTAATCCATCCATGTAGATATTTGCCATTTCTCTGAAGGAATGTTCTCCTTGAAGATCTCTTAAGGGATGATGATGATGGTGGTGCTGGTGGCGGTGGTAGTGGCGGCGGTGATGAGGACTGTCTGAACAGAACCTAAGCAGTGGATCTTCTTGCAATAAAGGAGAATCCCATCCATGATTAGAAGAAATTAAAAACAAAGATGTTGAGACTCTAGAAAGAGTGCAGAGAAGAGTAACAAAGATGCTTAGGGGCTTGGTGGTTAAAATATATGAAGAATTGTTGCAAGAAGTGGGCATGGCTAGTCTAGTGAAGAGAAGGACTGGGGGTGACATGACAGCAGTCTTCTAATATTTGAGGAGTTGTCACAGAGAGGAGGGTCGCAACCTATTCTCCAAAGCCCCTGAAGGCTAGAATAGGAACAATTGATGGAAATTCATCAAGGAGTGATTCAACCTAGAAATAAGGAGAAATTTTCTGACAATGAGAACAATCAAGCAATGGAACAGAAGTTGCCTTCAGAAGTTGTGGGTAGTTCATCACTGGAGGCTTTCAAGAAGAGACTGGACAGCCACTTGTCAGAAATGGTACAGGGTCTCCTGTTTGAGCAGGGAGATTGGACTAGATAACCTACAAGGTCCCTTCCAATTCTGTTCTAAGAAAATCTCTCTAACAGATGACAGATAATCAGAGTTGGAAAGGACCTCATAGGTCATCTAGTCCAACCCACCATCCAAACAGGAGACCCTACACCATTTCAGACAAATGGCAGTCCAATCTCTTTTTGAAGGTCTCAAGTATGGTGCTCCCACAACTTTGAGGGCAAGCTGTTCCATTGGTTGATTATTCTTACTGTCAGAATGTTTCTCCTTATTTCCAGGTTAAATCTCTCCTTGTTCAGTTTCCATCCAGTATTCCTTGTCTGGCCTACAGGTGCCTTGGAAAATAGCCTGACCCCTTCCTCTCTGCGACAGCCCATCAAATATTGGAAGATTACTATCATGTCTCCCCTGGTCCTCCTCTTCACTAGACTAGCCATGCCCAGTTCCTGTAATCGTTCTTCATATGTTTTATTCTTCAGTCCCCTAATCATCCTGGTTGCTCTTCTCTGCACTTTTTCTAGAGTCTCAACCTCTTTTTTATAGTGTGGTGACCAAAACTGGATGCAGGACTCTAGGTGTGGTCTTACTAAGGCCTTATAGAGTGGTATTAGTACATCACTTGACTTTGATTGTATCCCTCTGTTAATGCAATTTAGGATTGGATTAGCTCTCTATTTGGTACATAGCTATTTTTTTTACTGTGTTCAACCTTGAAAGCAAACTTTAACATCTTCATTTCTTTTTCAGATCAGCTTTACTTTTGTTTCCCAGGTTTTGAGCGATAAAATCCGGTTCCCTTTTTTCTATCGGATGATCCCTGCAGAAGGAACACAATACCCAGGAATTGTCAGGTTGCTTTTGCACTTTGAGTGGAGCTTCATTGGTCTCTTTGCTTCAAACACTGACAATGGGGAACAGTTCCTAAGGACGTTGGCTCCTCTACTCTTGAAGAATGGGATTTGTGTCATTATATCAAAAAGCATCTTGGTGACTAACAACAACACCCTGAAAGTCTTTTCTGCTTTCTTCTACACATGGAGGCAGGTTAATGTCTTTGTTTACTGTGCAGAAGGCAATTCCTTCCTAGAAGGAATAACCATTATACAAGAAATAATTAGGAGCTTGACAAAACCCATCATGGGAAAAATCTGGATCACCACAGCTTTGTGGGACTTCACGATGCAACTGTTCCAACGTAAACTGTTTTTTCAAAACCTCCACAGCCTTTTCTCTTTCTTCATCCGTACCCAAAAAAAGAGAAAACCATACAATTTTATAGCTTTCTACGATTACATGAAGAAGTTTGAACACAACGCTTATTCTTGTTTTTCTACAAGGCATGTCTTTGCTGTGAAAAGCCGGAGAAGATGCCGAGAGAAACAGGAAGTAAAGATTCTGCCCCAAGATAAGGTGGAAATAATTTTCTCCCTAGACAAATACTTCATTTACAATACTGTCTGGGCTGTGGCATGGGTGTTAAATACTGCTTTTTCATCCAGATCCAAGAGGGAAAGAAAGATGAGTGGAGAAAGGTTGAAAACTCCAAGTCTACAACCTTGGCAGGTATCTTGATGGCCATAATATAGATTGTTCTTGTGCATGATAATCAAATATTAAAATCTGCATGTTTGGTAACTGGATGCTCCTTTTCTTTTATCCTCTGGCTCTTTTTAGAATAGAATAGAATAGAATAGAATAGAATAGAATAGAATTCTTTATTGGCCAAGTGTCATTGGACACACAAGGAATTTCTCTTAGTCCAAATGCTCTCAGTGTACATAAAAGAAATAGTCATAGGGTACAATAAGCAATCAAATCAATAAAAAGAGTCAATAAAAATCATTAGGATAGAAGCAACAAGGTTACAGTCAAATAGTCAAAAGTGGGAGGGGATAGATAAGAAGTGATGAGAAGATTAATAGTAATAGTGGTGCAGACTTTGTAAATAGTTGGAAAGTGTTGAGGGAATTATTTGCTTAGCAGAGTGATGGTGTTCAGGAAAAAAATGTTCTTGTGTCTAGTTGTTCTGGTGTGCAATGCTCTGTAGGGTTGTTTTGAGGGAAGGAGTTGAAACAGTTTATGTCCGGGATGTGAGGGGTCTGTAAATATTTTCACAGCCCTCTTTTTGACTCATGTAATATACAGGTCCTCCATGGAAGGCAGGTTGGTAGCAATTGTTTTTTCTGCAGTCCTAATTACTCTCTGAAGTCTGTGTCTGTCCTTTTGGGTTGCAGAACCAAACCAGACAGTTATAGAGGTGCAGACGACAGACTCAATAATTCCTCTGTAGAACTGTATCAGCAACTCCTTGGGCAGTTTGAGCTTCCTGAGTTGGCGCAGAAAGAACATTATTTGTTGTGCTTTTTTGATGTTTTTCATGTTAGGTGTCCATTTTAAGTCTTGGGATATGATAGATTTTTTTTTTTATAGTGTTGTGGAAAAACAGTAATTCTTTTAAAACATGACCCTAAACAATGGAAATCTGAAACAAAATTTGATAAAATATCCTATAATACTATTACCTGGTTTCCCAGCCAAGACTAAGTGCTGAGAGATCCAATTGTAACTTGGTAAAGGATTATACAGAGATAGAACAGGTATATCAGCAGTCATGAATCATTAATTATATTACACAGACCAGAAAGTCATCAACATTTTTTAAAAAATGGTTATCATCTGGAGCTTGCTTTGCTGATTGTTCTTTCAACCCTGATCCACATTTTTTTTATTCTAAGGACAAACATTTCTTTCTATTTATGATATGGCAATCCTTCTTCACACCTCTCCTCAAAATACAAGGCAATTCTTAGTATCTGCTTTGCATGTCTTCCTTAGGATTATTTCCAAAGTATATTCAGTATTAAAGAGTATTCTCAGTTCCAGCAATGTTCTGCTTGTGACTTTGTCTGTGTCATGTAATATATGTGGGTATAGGCATAATTTATTCACTTATTTATTTAGTCATGTTTATGTAGTGTATATTGGAGGTGGAGACCCTCTGAAAACTGTATGCAATGAAATTTCATTTTAATGTATACCAATTAATATACATTCAAAGTGACAATAAAGTTAGTCTACGTCTATCTACACTGTAAACATGATTTAAGCTAAAAGAATAAAAATTAAGAAAAACTATTTTGAAAATTAACTTTTAAACTCTACAATGGGTTTTATTGCATGGACTTATCCTTGATATGGGGTATAGCTTTTACAGATTTGAGATTTTGGACAACATTCAAAGCAGTGTAGAAGTGTTCATCAAAATCAGTGGAAAGAAAGAAAGAAAAACAACACCAACAGCATCATAGCACTGATGGTGTTACCTAGTTTGGGTAATGAAACTGTGCAAGAAAATAATCAAGCTCAGAGAGCACCAAGGACCTCTCATTTCAACTTTGAGCTACAAATATTCTCCTTTATTTGAGAAACAAAGTGAAAAGTACAAGTTTGGGGTCAGTGGCTTTTTTAATTTTAAAAATAAACGTGTACAATTTGATGTCACCCAAGGACATTTTAATGACTTCAAAATACAAAATACAAATACAAAATACAAAATACAAACTTCATCAAGTAGGTGCTGCATTTCATAATGAGACTTATCTGGGATGAGATCTTTGAAAGACTCTAGATATTGAGCGATGGTGGATTCTGCTTCACTGGAAGTGTTTTAAGAGAGGCTGGATGACCATCTGCCAGGGGTGTTGCATTCCTGTACTGGACAAAATATTGGACTAGACAATCTCCCTTCAAAATTTTCCATTTTAGGATCCTACATGGTAGATTCTTACACTGGACTGGCCGTTGACTTAGATACATTCCCCTATTATTCCATTCTAGAATTCTTTACTTCCATGGAGGCCTCTACAATGAAGTAAGATGTAATGATGAGGGAACCCTTGTGTGAAAGCTGAAGAGAGAATAAAATGTTAGCCTATAAAATATCACAAGGTTTCTGTTTTTGTGTATGTGTGTTAGAAGACTGAAGATGGAGAGAAAGATCTCTACATTGACTACCGCGCTGATTGTATCAAAAGTAAGTCACACAACCCACAACTCCACATCCAACCCTACCTCATCTACCCACCATCACTCAAAACTAGGCATGCATGCCCCTAACTACCTCAATTCCAACTACACCTGGCCTTAAATGCAAGTTACTCAAGCTACTTAGCCTTGTGAATAAAATACCTGAATTTCTCCTCTTACTAAATATGGCTAAATTTGACATCATATTTGTCTGTGAAACATGGCTTAATGCATCTCTCCCTGACTCCATTACTACAGTAAGAGACTATCATGTTTACCGATCAGATCATGAAATCTGCAGAGGAGGTGGTGTTGCTATCTTCTATAAAAAGTCCTTACATCTAAAAAACATCCAAGTTACCAAAGAGCTTGCTCTTCCTGAGACCATCGTCTGTGAACTGTCCTTAAATATCACATTTTGATTCTTACTATGTTACAGAGCACCTGATTATGACATCGAACATGTAAACAAGCTAAATTCACTACTAACTTGGGCAACATCCTGCCCAGACACTTTTATCTTGTTTGGTGACTTCAATCTACCTCACATTAACTGGACCCTAAACGAATGTAAAACTGAACCTATACATGCAACCTTCTACAATGCAGTAACAAACCTGGGACTGGAACAACTAGTAACCAACAATACTAGACTTAACAACTGCATTGATCTCATCTTCTGCAATAGTTTGAATTCAATTTATGGAATACAAATTAAAGAACCCTTTTCCAACAGTGACCACAGCATAATTGACTTTTATCTCAACATACATCCACACAAAAAATCAACACAACGATGTGATCCCCAATTATAACTTCAAAAAAGGCAACTATGATCTTATAGATAACCATCCCTTGATTGGCAATTTCTATTCACTGGATGCAATACTGTTGAAGACCATTACAATATATTTTTACTTGAAGTCAAAAGAGTCATCAAACTATATGTACCAATAACAATTCCAAAAACCAGAAAAAACAGATTACCTATAACAATAAGGAAGCTTTAATCCCAAAATAGATCACTTTGGCGGAAAAACAAATCTGGTCACGTTGCCAATTTAAAAAGCCGATACAAAAATTTATGCCACCAGATAAAGACTGAATGCACCAATTATCACATTAAACAAGAGGAAAACCTTCTACACATCAATTCCACCCATGCTTTCTACAATTCTGTAAACAACAAACTAAAAGACTCAAGGTCCATCCCACCCCTGAAAGGACCAAATGGTAAAGATTGCAATGATGACACTATTAAAGCCAACCTCTTCAACACATTCAGTCAACTACAGTGATCTAATACATATCGATTTTACAGCAGACAATGTTGAAAAAGCACTATGCAATCTAAAACCATCTCTATCTATTGGACGAACGGAATGTGTACCTACTTCTTAAAAAAGCTATCCACTGCCATAGCCGAACCTCTAAGCATAATCTTTGAAAAATCTTTCAGGACCAGCTCCTTGCCTAACCAATGGTCACAAGCCACTGTCATCCCCATCTTCAAAAAAGGAGACCCCAGCCTAGGTGAAAATTACAGACAATCTCTTTATGCTGCATCACCTGTAAAGTCATGGAATCAATTATTAACCAACCCATTATCCTCCATTTAGTGACAAACAACCTACTCTCTAATAAACAATTTGCTTTCAGAAAAAAAACTATCCTGTAATCTGCAACTCTTACACTGCAAAAACATGCAGACTACACAACTCGATCAGGGCAAAGCAATAGACACAGTCTACATAGACTTCTGTAAAGCCTTTGATTCAGTGGTACATGACAAACTACTCCTAAAACTAAAATCTTACGGTATCTCTGGACACCTGCATAACTGGATAGAAGCATTCCTGTCAAACAGACAACAAATGGACAAAATTGGGAGTGCCCTATCAAATTCTGTACCTGTCAACAGTGGTCCCCCAAGGAAGTCTTCTAGGACCAACTCCCTTCATACTCTACATAAATGACCTCTGTGATCATATTAAGAGCAACTGCGTTCTCTTTGCTGATGATGTGAAGCTATTCAACACCACAGACAATACTGCTACCCTTCAAAAAGACCTCGACTAGGTATCAGAATGGTCAAACAAATGGCAACTTCAAATCTAAACAAATAAATGCTCTGCCTTACGTATTGGCAAAAGAAAATCAGAAAATAAAATACAGGCTGAATAGTCAAGACCTTGTTGATGATCCAAGCTCTGTCAAGGATCCTGGAGTATTCATCTCTAATGATCTAACTGCTAGAGCCCACTGTAACTACATTGCCAAAAAGGCGTTAAGAGTTGTTAACCCAATCTTACATAGCTTTTTCTCTGGTAATATCACACTACTAACTAGAGCATACAAAACATTTGCTAGACCAATACTCGAATACAGCTCATCAGTCTGGAACCCACATTATGTATCTGATGTTAACACAGTTGAGAAAGTCCAGAAATATTTCACAAGAAGAGTTCTCCACTCCTCTACTCGTTGCAGAATACCATCCCATCAGACTTCAAATTCTAGAACTAGAAAACCTAGAACTACGCCGTCTTTGGTCCGATCTAAGTATAGTATATAAAATCATACATTGCAATGCCCTACCTGTCAATTAATACTTCAGCTTCAACCATAACAATACAAGAGCACACAATATATACAAACTCATGGTTAATCGCACCACACTTGATTGCAGGAAACACGACTTCAGCCACAGAGTGATCAATGTCTGGAATACTCTCCCTGACTCTGTGGTTTCTTCCCCAAACCCCAGAAACTTTAACCTTAGACTTTCTACTATTGACCTCACACCTTTCCTAAGAGGTCTGTAGGGGGCGTGCATAAATGCACCAATGTGCCTACCATCCCTGTCCTATTGTTTCTTTTATTTTTCTTATATGTATCCATGTATTCATAACTATGTTTTTACTTATACCTATTATCTTGTAAGCAATTGACAAACCAAATAAAATAAAATAAATAAATAAATTAGCTCTCTTTGGACACAGCTATTTGAATCTGAAAAGAAGATTCAACCATAAGCAATTCAGGTATCAAACAGGCATTCATTCACTCATTCATCTTGTACAGCCATCAAACTCTGAGCAGCTTTACAAACAAATTTAAATGAAATCACAAGTGAAAATTGATGCACATTGTTGGAGCAAATAGGCTTCCCATCTGCTAAGAAACATGCTACATTTTTTTGGTTTTATTTTCTGTTCTGTTCTAGCTTCACCCTTTCCTCCAAAACTCTCAACTGCACAATCATTCCTTGGATGGAGTACATTTGGATGAAAAAGGAAACCTGGTAGCTGATTTGGACATCCTGAACTGGATGGTTTTTCCAAATAACTCTGTCACCAAAGTGATGTTTGGGAGTCTAATAAAACAGAGATCCTCGGATTTCAAATTTTCAATCAATCAGGATGCTCTCGAACACCTGGAATTACTCAACAAGGTACATAAATTGAAATTCACTGTTTCTCCATTTCTCAATAATAGCAATGATGAGTGTGGAGATCTCAGGAAGGGAAATTGCTTTCATTTTTGCTATTCAGTTAAATCCAAAGAAATTTCAGATACAGCTGTGTCACTATATATTGAAATATGCAAGCACCATCAGAAGTCACATTGCAAGTATTCATCTTGAGGTACTTAATCAATCAGAATAGAGCTGGAAGGGACCTTGGTGGTCTGCTAGTCCAACCTCCTGCTCAGTTCAGATAGATGGCTGTCCGGTCTTTTCTTAAAAATTCCAGCACCCACAATCTCTGAGGGCAAGCTGTTCCACTGGTTAATTGTCCTCCCTGTTAGGAAGTTTCTCCTTAATTCCAGGTTGCTTCTCTCCTTGATTAGTTTTCATCCATTGTTTCTTGTCCTGCCTTCTGGTGCTTTCGAAAATAAATTGACCCCCTCCTCTTTGGGGAAGCCTTTCAAATACTGGAATATTGCTATCATGTCCCCCTTAGTCCTTCTTTTCTCTAGATTAACCAAACCCAAATCCTGCAACCATTTTTCATATGTTTTAGTCTCCAGGCCTTTAATTATCTGGTCTTCTTTGCACTTCTTCTCCAAAGTCTCAACTTTTTTTTTGTAATGTGGTAACCAAAACTGGATGTAATATTCCAGGTGTGATCTTACTAAAACTTTAAAAAGCCTTACTAAGCCTTACTTACTAAGTAACTAAGTATGTAAGGCTTACTTACTAAGTAAATAAGTAAGTAAGCCTTACATACTAAATAAGTAAGTAAGTAAGGCTTACATACTTATTAACCTTACTAAGCCTTACCTACTAAGGCTTTATATGTTGTCCCAAGTTGGCTTTATAAAGTTGTCCTAAGACATTTTCCTTGTTTTCCTTGTTTCTATGTTAGCCTCTGCCTCTTTCCAAGTGTGTACAAAGTTGTTCTCCTGGATTCCACAAGATGACTGAAAGAGGGAGACCCATGTGCTGTTACAATTGTGTTGTTTGTGCAGAAGGAGCCATCTCTGCTCAGGAAGGTGAGTAATTATGAAGGAGTGGTAGTAATGAATTTGCTAGCTGTCAGGGTTCCAGAGATTGCCCTAATTAAATCATGAGCCTCAAGCCATGCTTCAAAAGATTCCAGAAGATTTATTATTGCCCATGCAGCAGATCTCACTGCATTGCTTCCTCATTCTGTCCTTTGTTATTTTTATGGATATCTCTAAAGGAAGAAGTAATTTATCCTCCTGTTCCAAACAAATTATTTTGATTTTAAAAATTATTTAAGTCAAAGCCAGATGACCTCCAAAGTACTGTACAATGCTATGATTCTATAATGGTCATCAATCAGGAATGACAAAGTTGGCAAATGGTTGACCTCAATTATCTGAAATAGAAGTATTTCACAAGAAGAGTACTACACTCCTCTACTCGCAATTGAATACCCTACACCACCAGCTTGAGATTTTGGTCTTTGACAACCTTGAACTACACCGCCTATGGTTAGACTTAAGTGTAGCACACAAAATTATCTGCTACAATGTCTGACCAGTCAATGACTACTTCAGCTTCAATTGCAACAATACAAGAGCACACAACAGATACAAACTCAATGAAGCCACTCCAAGCTTGATTGCAGAAAGTACAACTTCAGCAACAGAGTGGTCAATGCCTGGAATGCACTACCTGACTGTGTTGTTACATCCTCTAACCCCCAGTCCTTTAACCTCAGACTATCCACTATTGACCTCATCCTATTCCTAAGAGGTCTGTAAGGGGTGTGCATAAGCACACACTTGTGCCTACCATCCCTGTCCTATTGTCCACATTTATGCATACCTATTTCCTGTATTCTTACTCATGTTTATACTTATACCTGTTATCTTGTAAGCAATTGACAAATCAAATAAATGAATGAACGAACAAACAAACAAACAAACAAACAAACAAACAAACAAATAAATAAATATTTCTTATAAGGAGAGTAAAACCAGCAAAAGCACACTAAGCAAAACATTTTGAAGGCAAAATGCAGGTATTAAAGGGATTACATTTTTAAAAAACCTGCTTAATAACCTCTAATTCAAATGGATGTCATGTTTGTCCCAAAGGTAGTTTTTCCAAAGGCAAGTGGACTTTCTGTGTTTTTTCCCATTGAAGATGTTTTGCTTCTCACCCTAGAAACATCTTCAGTTCTGACTGAATGGTGGGGAATGGTGGGTATCTCCACCATTCCATCCGAACTGAAGATGCTTCTTGGATGAGAAGTGAAATGTTTTCAAGAGAAAAAAACAGTTTTTTGAAAAGAGCAACCTGGGGTCCAATTTAGATTAGCTGGTATAAGAACATAGAAGATATTCTTTATTTCAAATTCACTGATTCCGTGGATTAAAGTTTTGCAATGTTAAAAGAATTTAGCTGCTTCAAATTCATCTTTACTTGGATATGATTTTTACTGCATGAGTAAAATTCAAATTTCCTGCAGAACAAGTATTTTATTTATTTACTTAATTTACATAGCTGTCCAACTCACACATACAGTAGGTGACTTTGAGCAACTTAATGTTTTTTAAGGAAACTCATATAATAAAAACCCATTTTAAAAAAACCCATCCCCCACCACCATGGAAGAACCACACAATTAAATCAGTCACTTCATCAGCTTCCTATCTCTTTGTTAATGAAAATCTCCTCCTCATCCATCTCCACTGCCTATTTTGCATACTCCATATAAACATACACATATACACCATCACAAATTGTTCTGACCCAAACTTTGTTCCAAGGAAACACCAAACAGAGGTAACAGCAAAACCTTTTAATGATTCTTTAAGAATTCTGTTCCTTCACGGTTAAAAGACTGTTTCAAACTAATAGTCTCTGATAAGAATGAGCCTTGCCAAGGTTGTGCAAGGCTGCCAAGAACACTAGATAAAGTTACTAAGAAATATTTCAAACACAAAGAGTTTCCAAACACCAACCAAGATACTCCGAATGTCCACAACGCTTGAGTGCAAAAACTTCTTTGCTTCCTGCAAAGAACTCCGGTTTCTCAGCTGGCTTTTATCTCTTAAGGGAGGGGCCATTACCTTGCAGCCTTACTCCTGAATCACCTGTGCTGCTGCAGCTGCTCTTTCCTTTGAGCAGTCCTGTGTGCACATGCACTGGGCACAGGCTCCTCGGGGACCTCTTCATCACTGCTGCCAGCCTCCATAATCTCCAAAGGCAGCATTCCACTCCCTGATGGTCCAAGCCCCATCCCTGCATTGCACGCAGGCCCCTCATCTGAGTCCTCACTTTCCAAGACCTCAGCCATTTGCACCCGCTGTCAGTGAACCACAACACAAATGGCCTTTGGGTCTCCTGGTTTTCAGCTTCCACCTAAGGAACATACTCAGGGGTGAGATTCAACCAGTGTAACAACCAGTGAGAGCGCACTTTGAACATGCATGTGTGGTCTGCATGCGTGCGCAGCATTTCAGAACCACCTATTTTCAGCTCTAATACTTACCTTCTACTGAAGCCCTGTAGTATAACAGCTGAGGCACAGCAATCTGCTGTGCCATACAAAAGATGGAAATAAAGGACAGAATAGGACAAGGGCAGGTGGGCAGGGCCAAATGATCACTGGAACTACCTGTTTGCCTGAGCCACTCTGAACTGGTAGAATCCCACTCCTGAACATACTGGATAGAATGGAAAATGAGAGGCAGTGGCAGATATGCTAATGTTATTATTATTTTTTAGATGCAGAAAAGTGCACCAGGTGTCCAGATGATCAGCACCCAAATGAGAAGAAAGACCACTGTGTTCCTAAAGTTATAACTTATTTGTCTTATGAAGAACATTTGGGGATTCTTCTTGTTTCCTTTGCTGGGTTCATGGTCTTCATCACAAGCTTTGTGCTGGGAATCTTCATTAAATTCCTAGAAACTCCAATTGTGAAGGCCAACAATCAAGACCTTTCCTTCATTCTCCTGGGTTCCCTTCTGCTTTCCTTCTTATCCTCCTTCCTATTCATTGGCCAACCCATGCAAGCCACGTGCTTTTCCCAACAAATGGTCTTCACCACCATATTCACAGCTGCCATTTCTTCAGTGCTAGCAAAAACCATCACAGTGGTGTTGGCATTTTTGGCTACCCAGCCAGGAAATAAGATGAAGAAATGGCTGGGGAAGAGCTTGGCCAACTCCATTGTCTTATCTTGCTCAAGTGTCCAAGTTGTTATTTGTAGCATTTGGTTGGGAGCTTGTCCCCCTTTCCTTGAGATTGACATGCATTCTCAGCTTGAAGAGATTATCTTGAAATGCAACGAGGGCTCGGTCACTATGTTTTATTTTGCTCTTGGTTACATGGGCTTCCTGGCTGTCAGTTGCTTCACCATGGCTTTCCTGGCCAGGAATCTGCCTGGAGCTTTCAATGAAGCCAAGCTGATCACATTCAGCATGGTGGTATTCTGCAGCGTCTGGGTGTCTTTCATTCCTGCCTACCTGAGCACCAAAGGGAAGTACATGGTGGCTGTGCAGGTCTTCTCCATCTTGGTTTCCAGTGCTGGTCTGTTGGTCTGCATCTTCATCCCTAAATGCTACATTATTGTGCTAAGGCCAAAGCTGAATACAAAAGAACATCTTAAGATAAAATAGATTGGGAAAGTGATTGTTATGGAACTGCTTCTCAAAAGTTTTATTTAATAGATCCAAGTTGATGTTCCTAAATTTTCAAATTTCAAATTCCTTCTTTTTTGTTCTTAATGTCTCTCCCTTACTCTTACGATCAGATTTTATCCTCCTAGAAATTCTTATGTACATCAGTCATGGTATCTTCCGGCCTTCAGTCAGTGATTTTTGCTGTGTCCTCAAACTGTTTATTAAAACTGAGGAGACCACGTATGACTATTTGATTACATGTTTCTTACTCTAATTATCTTCAACATGAAATGTATTTGAAGGAAAAACTAATGCTGAAATTGTTGGACTTAATATTGGAAGGAAATGAATGATGGGAGATTGTGTCACCTTACTCTTACTAAGCAATATGGTACTTGTGTATGCCTATGTTCATATCAGGTGAACATCTGTGTTTGCTTGAAGAGAATAAGTTTGAAAAACAAAAACAGAAACAAGGTGTGTATGTGTGAACTTTATCCCTGTAAAAGATAGATGCTAAAGATGCTACGGTAATGCCATTTTTAACCTCTGTGTAAGGCATTTACTGGAATATTAAGCAAGACATTATGTAAAGAGTTTGCAATAACAAGTTTTGTTTTGTACATTGTGGTTATACTGTACATATTTTGGCAGGTCATTGGATGGTTTGTGGGTCATGATGTCCTGTTGTCATGCTAAAATTAATAATGCTAGCAATAGGGGTATGCCAAAAAGATAGAGAGTATGCCAAGAAGGATGAAGATTACTTGAAATTGATAAGCAGATGGGTAAACAGTTATGGGAATAAGACCCTTTACCCACTCAATAAGTTAGCTTATAAGAAAAAGAGGTGGTAATTGGTTAAGGATTTTGAAAATGTATAAAACTCTCAAGATTGCCTATGAAAAATGTCCTCTAGCACCCAAGAATGATTCTGCCTTTGCAAATGCAATAAACAAGCTCTGATTTTGTTCATGAAGTCTCTTGTCAATTTGATTTAAACATCATAGTATGTCTCTGTAAATGCTGAATCTCTCCACAGTACAGGAAAAGGTTGGGAAAACTTTTCAACATTGGTTGGACAACTCCCCCTCTAGGAATCTGCTTGATAGTTTTGATTGGGTCTGGAGAAAGAGAGAGCTTGGAGGTCTTTTAGAACAGTCAAGCCCTCTCTCTTTGAGAAGTGAAGTTTGAGCAAAACTTTATTATCTGGCCAAGGAAATACCTTGAAACTTCTCTCTGAGAAGAAGGCTTGGCTTTCATTAATTTTGTTGAAAGTTGTAAAATGTTTGTTGAGATTTCTATAATAATGACCTGATGATTCTATGATGTAAGGGGTTGTGGTTTTTGCCTATAAAGACTTTAAGCATGAGGGGTGAGCACAAAGTCTTTGAGGCAAACTTCCCTATGTCCTGCACAGAATAAAAGTAAATATGTGCTAGTCATTTCCAGCTTTAGGGGGTGGTGATCATCTCTGCTACAAAGCCGAAGAGCCAGGGCTGTCCCATCTGTGACTTCTCCCTTTGCATACATGTTTGGGGGTTTTTTGGTAAAAGTTTTTAACAAACACAAACATAAAACATCAACATAAAACCATCTTCCAAAATACATCGTGTCAGTTGGTACATTTCTTTCATGAAACGCAACATCAACAGCCTTCCCCTTCCAAACATACATTCATATTACATAAATCAACTATACATATTATATTATATTGTATTATTATTGTATCATTATTAGACTCAACTATAAATTTACATAGTTCTTATCGAGCAAATCTAAGTTTTAACAAATCTGGGAACATTCAATTCATTTCATTATGTTCAATTATATAATATCATTACATCATATTATCTTACATATTATACTATTCCTTTTTATAACATTGTTTTCCCTTTGCACACATGCTTGTTGATTCAGAGTTCAAAGAGTTGGTGTCAGCCTTGGAAGCCATATTTTATTTGGAAGCTTTGAGACTGCCACATTCAGTGTCTGGGAATTTGGGAGGGGGGATTTCATACTGAGGTGGAAGACTAGACACAACATTCCTTTCTCAGAGAGTCAAGGACATGTTGCCCTGCACCTGGAGAGGAGTGTCTGGAGGAATGTCTCCAGTTGGGACGATCTTTGATTGGAGCATGTGATGGACTGGTTGGTGCAAGGGATGTTTCTTTGATTTTATTTTGGGAAAAGAAAACCCAGAACTCTCAGATTCGGGTTTTCCCAGATGTACAAATGTGAGAACTCTACTAAAATGGAACTTTGAGGAAATGCTTATCTTGGAGTTTATTGGTTTGGAGTTGATTAGTTGGAACACTAATCAAGGGGCTGTGCATAAGCGCACCAATGCTTACCGTCCCTGTCTTACTGTCCCCATTTACCTGTATTTACTCCTTTTATTGTTGTTTATGTTTGTACTTATACTTGTTATCTTGTACATGTTTGATGAACAAATAAATAAAAATAAATAAATAAATATGTCTCCACTCAAGGGAGTCCAAAATTAAAACATATACAGAAATTGATAACATATAGGCTTTGTTAACAATCAGAGCCACTAATTGTATTCCTGTCAGTCTGTGCTCCATTCAAAATCCAAGAAAGAAATACTTAGACTCCATAGATTAGAGGAAAGAATTCTTTTACTGAAAAATGAAGTGGTAGCATCAAGTAGGATTCTGAATCTGAGAATTTAGGCATGCAGATCACATATACAAAGTGATGAAGTTGTTCCCACCTCCCATAGTTCAAAAGATTCTTCCAATTAAAAGTTCTGAATATGATCATGTGGACATCTTCAGGTGGTGATGAGGCCTATGTCCATTGACCTTGGCATATTTTGATAAAGATTTGCAGCTGTGCAGAGAAAAGAAAGCTAAGCGAGAAATAGAAACCTAAAAGCAGGAATTTATACTCCCCCCCACTCCTCATTTACACAACACAAGAATGTAACACCTCCAGCTCTCCTCCCAGACCATTCCCCCCTCCTCCCCCCATTACTTATGGCAGCCAAATGATGCAAGGCAGTAGAAAAGATGCAAAGCAGATCTTGAAGGCTGACATTCGGCCCTCCTAGGAAAAAGACGTTAGTCCTGCATGAGAGAACAACATAAAAGATACTGATTAATACTCAAATACATTTCTAGGGTTTATCAGGATACTTTGTGCGAAAGTCTTTGATCAGCTTAGGGGCTCTAACATCCTTCTCATTAACCCACTCAGCTTGGGAAGATGGGAAATGTTTCCAAGTTACGAGGTATTGGAGGTGACCCCTCCATTTTTGAGAGTCCAAAATTTCTTTAACTTCAAAATGTTGTTCACCTTCAATCAGCAATGGTATAGGAGGATCAGTCTGGGTTGGTCTCAGACCAGAAGTGTGTTTAGGTTTCAACAAGCTAACATGGAAAACTGGATGAATTTGTTGAAGAGTTTTTGGTAGTGTCAATTGGACTGTCACAGGATTTATAATCCGTTCAATCGTGAAAGGTCCTACATATTTAGGACCAAGTTTCTTCGACTTTTGAGTGGTTTGTAAGTATTTGGTGGACAGGAAAACTTTGTCACCCACTTGATAGGACTTCTGTGGAGTTCTCTTTTTATCTGCAAAGTTCTTATGAGATTGATGTGCGTCATCTAATGCTTTACGGGCAACTGGCCAGCTAAGTTGGAGTTGAGATATCCATTCATCTAGTGACTGGATGTTAGGTCTTTCACGAGGAAGCCCAGGTACGGGTACAAAGTCTTGTCCCAACGCCCCTTTAAAGGGGGTGAACCCGGTACTACTATGAACAGAATTGTTGTATGCCACCTCGGCAAATGGCAATAAGTCAGCCCAGTTATCCTGTTGATAATTTATGTAATATCTGAGGTATTGTTCTAGCACTGCATTAGTTCTCTCACAGGCCCCATTGGTTTGGAGATGGTGGGTGGAGCTTAAGCCCTGGACAGAGCCTATTAACTTCAGGAACTCCCTCCAAAAGTTCGAGGTGAATTGAACCCCTCGGTCAGAAATTATACATTCAGGAATGCCATGCAGTCTATAAATATGTAGTATAAACAGTTTAGCCAACGACTTTGCAGAGGGAATCTTAGAGCAAGGTATGAAATGCGCTTGTTTGGAAAACAAATCAGTTACTACCCAAATAACTGTGTTTCCGGTGCTCTCGGGTAACTCTACTATAAAGTCCATAGAGATTTCCTTCCATGGAGCAGTTGGCTTACCAGGTGGCCTTTTTGCTGAGGTGCAAACTGAGCAGCTAGCCACATAAGCTTCAATGTCCTTCTTCAATATAGGCCACCAGAATTGTCTCTTAACGAGGTGTAGAGTTTTCACGAATCCAAAGTGACCAGCCGCTTTAAAGTCATGGGCTTGTTGAAATATTTGGCTTCTCAATGTCTCTGGTACATACAACTTTGCTCCCATCCAGGCCAAACCATCTCTAATTGTACAGTTATTCGAATGAGCCAGGAACCATTCATCCAATTTTAGGGCCTCCTTTAATTGCGCTGTCAAATCACTTGATAAATCCACTTCTTGTTTCTTCTTTTGCGCTCTAGTGACCACCGGGGCAGCTAACTGTTTGGTTGAAACAATCGGCTGTATCACTTCCTGACGAATGCTGTTATATTGAGGCAGTCTAGATAAAGCATCCGCCATAAAATTCCTCCCCCCCCCCAGGATGTACTTCAGTGAAAAGTTGAAATGCTTAAAATACTGGGCCCACCTAACTTGTTTAGGAGACAGTTTTCAAGGTGTTTTTAAGCCCTCCAAATTCTTATGGTCAGTCCATACCTCGAACGGGTGTTTTGCTCCTTCCAAGAAATGTCTCCATGTCAATAGCGCCCAGCGAACTGTAAAAGCTTCCTTTTCCCAGACGGCCCACCTCCTTTCGGTTTCAGTTAGTTTACTGTAGGTGCAGGGTTGTAGGGTTCCCTTCTCATTGATTTGAAGTAAGACTGCTCCAACAGCCACATCACTCGCATCGGCCTGGATCATG